GGGACATGCAGAAGGGTATGAGTGATGGCTCTCCGAGCTGTGAAGGGGTCCTAGTCATTCTGTGAAAGGCAATGATATTTGAAAGCAGGCTCACTGCTTCTTGATTGGCTGGTAGAACCTTCTGAATTTGGATGTCTAAGGGAAGGGCCTTCTTATTCAGGTCCTAGTCCCTGTGGCTTTGTTCAGGAGGGGCAGGAAGGGAAAAGAGTGTGTTCACCATGTGGCCAAATGGTACTCATCAGAGCCCTGCCTACACCAAGGGAAGACTAGCTGTGGTATTACCGCTAATCGCTGGACCTCTGTATGACTTATTGTACCATGATGCCAGCATGTTTCCATGCCTAACGTTCCTTAACGTGTCCACCAGGTGGCTCACAGGACCAGGGCCAGAGCACTGTGGGCTGGCCGGTCCTGAGAAGACTGCTGCATAGCTGGCAGTGGAGGACATGTGGACTGCATTGCTAAGCAGTCCATAAGGAGTCTGCTGGCATCAAGCTAGGCAGGGCAGTTTCAGCATAGGCACAAAGATGCGCTGAATATCAGGTGAATGCGACACAGTAGGAGTGAGGGCTCTCTGTGGGCTATTGAAAGGGCCTCAGTGGTCTATCGGAGTCAAAATGGTGGGAATGCAGGCTCACTGCATGGCTCTCCACTGTATTTGGTTGTACTATCTGCTATCTTTGGTAAGTCAGGCTGACTGCATGGCTAGGGACGGCTCCATTCTCCACAGGTTGTAGGCTGAAGTGACGGCAGGCTGACGGACTCATGAAGCATTCCTTGTCAGGTGGTTTTCATCAGGCTGGTGTTAGTGTGAGCATACTGAGGGCCCAGGTAACCTAATTGGACTGCGGCTGGCTAGCCTGGATGATGTGCTGCTCATCATTCAGCTGTCTAGACAGAGCCAGTTGTGTTTCATGCAAAATGATAGGAGTGAGAGCCTCTTGGGCGGCCAATCCATACTAGGCCTTTGGCGGGAGGCAGCTGGTGGGAATACAGGCTGAGGACTTAGCCATCCATTGGTCCACTGGGAACCTTGAGCATGCTACATCACAGTTGGTATCAATGCATGGCTAAGCCCTGCTCATTTTTCAGCAGGGTTTTCTCCCAAGGGAGATTTCCTCCATGATTCCATAATACTTCATTTTTAGGTGGCTGTCTGCATACTGTGGAGAGCAGGAGCACACTGCATGAGCATCTGTTCCTGAACAGTCTCCTGCACGGTGTCTGGAATGAGAGTGAACTCATTTCATGCTAGTCTGCAGTTCCAAGTTGCACTGCAAAGTGGATGACGAGAAGGGATTGTCACCATGTGTCAACCAGTTAGGAAAGTTTTCACTGTATACCCACCCTATGAGTGCATATCTCTTAAGAGCAAACAGTACCTCACTTGAAGCCCAGGGGCATGGACGGATCACACTGTGTCTAGGAGCTCCTCAACTTGCTCCCGCATTCCATGCGTTACGACTCTAATGAGTCTGCAATGCTAGGTCGAAGCCAAGGCTTCACCTATTTGGTTGTGGGAGGTGGGCACGTCAATCCATGTCATAGCCATTCACATCTTGGTCTTGGCTCATGGCTGTGGGCAGCTTCAGGTTCACTGCATGTTGTACCAAGACTCTCCAGACTTCTGCATGACGGTTTGTTGGTGTGCATGTTCCCTGACTGGCTAAGCTGCCGGAAATGTTACAGGGTATGAAAGTCAGGTCTGCCTGAACTAGTGGTGTGTTTGACTAGCCTTCTAAAACCTGTTGCTTTCCTGCCGGCTTGAGGACAGTTGCATTGCGTGGCAAAATATTCCATAAGCACATCCCTGGAGGAGACAACAAGTGAGAGCTGGCTCCCTGTGCAGCTGAATAGTCCCCAAAGCTTGGGACATGCAGAAAGGTATGAGTGCTGGCTCTCCCAGCTGTGAAGGGGTCCTAGTCATTCTGTGGGAAGCTGTGAAGTTTCAATGCAGGCTCGATGTGGCTGGACTGGATACTCCAAACTTCTGCCATTTGATGTCTAGGCGAAGGGTCTTCTTACTTACTTCTTAGGCCCTGGCCCTTTGTTCACTAGGGCAGGTAGGGACAGGGGGTGTTTACTGTGTAGCCCAGTGGTCCTCATGGTAGCACAGACCAGCCAGCTGCATGGAGGGTATAGATTTTCTACGTGCTGGCCACTACTCGACAGAACTCCATGTGACTTGTCCTTGAGGCCAGCATTTTTCCATGCCAACCATGCTTAAAATATGCACAAGGTGGTGCGCAGGACCAGGGCAAGAGCACAGTTGGCCTACTAGTCCTCAGAAGGCTTACTTGCTAAATAGCTGGCAGAGTGATGCCATTTGGACGGCATTACTAACCACAACTTGAGCAGTCTACTTAAGTCAAACTAGGCAGGGCAGGTTCAGCCTGGGCGTAAACTTGACTGAAGATC